AAATTGTTATTTTTATTTTGTGTGTATGCATGTATTACCTGCATGTAGGTAAGTACACCTGTGTCGTTCAGTGTCTGCAGAAGTCAGAAGAGGTTGTAGGATCCCTTGGGACTGGAGTTACAGAGAGTTGTTAGCTGACATATGGGTGCTGGGATTTGAACCCTCGTCTTCTGCAAGAACAACCAGTGTTCTTAACCACTGAGCCATCTCTCCAGCCCCTATTATTATTTTTTTAATATTTTTATTTTATTTTATGTGTATAAGTATATTGCACGCATGCATGTAAGTGCACCTGTGTCATGCAATGCCCACAGAGATCTGAAGAGGGCATTGGATTCCCTGGAACTGGAGTTATAGATGGTTGTTAGCTGCCATGAGGTGCTGGGAACTGAACCCAGATCCTCTACAAAAGCAGCCAGTACTCTTAACCACTGAGCCATCTCTCCAGCTCCCTTATTTTTCTTTTTAAAGATTCATTTTAGTTAATGTGTGTGAACATTTTGCCTGCATGTATGTATGTGTGCCATGTGCATGCCTGGTGCCTGCAGAGACCAGAAAAGAATGTCAGATCTTTGGAACTGAAGTTTCAGGCAGTTCTGAGCTGTCATGTGGGTTCTGGGAATAGAATCCAGGTTCTCTGCAAGAGCAGTCAGTGCTCTTAACCACTGAGTCACTTCTCTAGCCTCTGGCCTTGAACTTTTGATCCCCCTGCCTTAGCCTCTGAGTACTGAGATAATAGGGACGCACATCATACTGGACTTGAGTAGAATTTTTTTTTTTTAACCATTTGTTCTGTCACAGTTCTGACTATAAGTAGAGATGATTCTCTCCTTCCTTTACATAGGTTTCAGAGATTAAACTCAGGTTTCATGAACCCCTCACGTAGGTTTCAGAGATTAAACTCATGCTTTACCTGCTGAGTCTTCTCACTGGCCCTATAGACAGGAAGTCTTTATTTAAACTAACTTCAAACTTGCTGTGTAGCCATGGTTGGCCTTAAACTTCCAATCTTCCTGACTCTGCCTCCTAAGTACTAAGATTACAGAAGTGTAACTCTATGCTGGGTTTATATAAGCTTGATGTATCAGACTTTCTATAAATATTTGATGTTTCCATACTTACTGGCAGGAGAGACCATGATCACAAAAGTGGTTTTCCTAGGGTAAGACTCATCCATTACACCCAATGTGTGCTGACTACTGATTTCCTCAAATGTGGAAAACTCAGCTGCATCATTTGTGATAGTTGGGGACTGCATTCGCCCTTCTCCCCTGTTTAAAATATATATAGGCATGCACTAGTGCTAGTGTGTTTTAACATGTATGTACAGGGGCTGGAGAGATGGCTTAGTAGTTAAGAGTACTGGCTCTTACAGAGTCCCAGGTTCAATTCCCATACATATATATAGCCAGGTGTGCTAGTCCATGCCTTTAATCCCAACACTTGGGACTATAATATGTGTATGTGTGTGTATAATGTCCTTGTCTCTCGTAACCTTTAAAAAGAAATGTACTCTTTTTTTTTTTTTTTTTTTTTTTTTTTTTTTTTATGTGTGCCTCTGTGCCATGGTATTCATGTGGGGGCCAGTGGACAAACCTGGGGGAGCTGACTCTTTCTACCATGTGGGCTCTAAGGATCAAGCTCAGGTCATCAGGCTTTTCAGCAGGTATCCCTGCCCATTGAGCTATCTTTCCAGCCTCTATTAAAGCTTTGTGTGTGTGTGTGTGTGTGTGTGTGTGTGTGTGTGTGTGTATGGTAGTGGGGATTGAATCCAGAACCTTGGACACACTAAGCAAATACTGTATCACTGAATTACATTCCCAGCCATAAAACTGCTATAAAACTGTTTGATTATAAACTCTTTTTTTGTTACTAGTGGGTCATGTGGTATCTTTTTCCATCCTCTTACTTTCAGTTTCTAGGTCTTGCCAGGGTGGTAGTGCATACCTTTAATCCCAGCACTCCAGAGGCATCAGAGGCAGGCGGCTCTCTGTGAGAGTGAGACCATCCTAATCTATATAGTGAGTTCCAGGCAGCTGGGGCTACAGGGAGACCCTGTCTCAAAAACACCAAACAAAAAATTCAATTTCTAGGTGTCATCTCTAAAGCCAATCTCTTGTAGACAGTAAGTATATGTATGGATTGTATTGTGTTTTCTTTAAAAAATTTTTAAACATTTATTTTATGTGCACACATACTCACCACTATGCTGTGTTTGGAGGTGAGAGAACAATTTTGGTGAGCCAGTTCTCTCCTTCCACCTGCGGGATCCCAGGGATCAAACTTGGGTTAGCAGGCTTGGTGGCAAGTACCCTTACCTGCTGAGTCATATCACCATATGTAGCATTCTTTTTTTTTTTTTTGAAATAGGGTCTCACTCTGTAGCCTTGGCTGGCATGGAACTCACCATGTAGACCAGGCAGGCAAATTCTCAGAGATCTGTCTGCCTCTGCCTCCCAAGTGCTGGGATCACAGGTGTGTGCCACCACGCCTGGCTTATTAAGGATCTCTTGTATGTGATATTTCACTTCTCTCTGCTTCTTCTAAGCTACTGTCTTTGTCTTTTGACACTTTGACTATAATGTGCCCTGGTGTGAGTCTTGTCATTTTTTTTTCCTGCTTGGATTTTGTTGAACATTTTGGATTATAATTTATTCATTTCTTTAATCAGATTTGGGATCTTTTTAGCCATTATTTCATTTCATTAAAAAAAATTTTTTTAATGTATTATTGCTCTGTGTATATGTGTGTGTGTGTGTGTGTGTGTGTGTGTGTGTGTGAAGTATGTATGTATGTAAGTGCAGGCCTGCATTTATGACAGAATACATGCGGAGGTTATAGGACAGCTTTTGGGAATCACGTCTTTCCTTCTACCATGGTTACAGGTATCTAACTCAGGTTATCAGTCTTGCATGGCAAGTGCTTTAGCCCACAGAGCCATCTCTCCCATCCCATTATTTCTTGTAGTGTTTTTTGGGTTTTGGTTTTTTTTTTTTTTTTTTGGTCTTTTTAAGACAGGGTCTCCTTATAGCCCCAGCTGGCCTGGAACTTGCTATGTAGACCAGGCTGGCCTTGAACTCACAGAGATCTGCCTGCCTCTGCCTCCTGAGTGCTGGGATTAAAGTTGTGTTTTAACATGTATGTATAGGGGCTGGAGAGATAGCTCAGTGGTTAAGAGCACTGGCTGCTCTTGGAGAGGACCCAAGCTCAATTCCCAGCACCCACACGGTGGCTAACAGTCTGTAACTCCATTTCCAGGGAAATCCATTGTCCCTTTCTGACCTCTGTGGGCACTGCATGACATAGGTGCACTTACACACATTCGGGCAATACAGTACAATACACATAAAATAATGAATAAAATATTTTAAAATATATGTATAGTCAGGTATATTGGCACACGCCTTTAATTCCAGTACTAGGAAGGCAAAGGCAAATGGATCTCTGTAAGATTGAGGACAGTCTGGTCTGTATACCAAGTTCTAGGCTAGCTGGGACTATAGGGATTCCCTGTTGCAAAAGAAACCAAAAAAAAAGTATGTACAATGCATCTGGATAGATGGCTCAGAGAACTCAGTGCTCTTCTAGAGGACCTGAGTTTAGTTCCCAGCATCCACATTGGACAGCTCACAATTTCATCTCTAAGGGATCTGAGACCCTCTTCTGTCCTGCACATACTTGGCATACAAACACACATGTACATGCATATAAATAAATAAAATCTGTTTTTTTGATTTTTGGTTTTTTTTTTTGGTCTTTTTGAGACAGGGTCTCCCTGTAGCCCCAACTGTCCTGGAACTCACTATGTAGACCAGGCTGGCCTTGAACTCACAGAGATCCGCCTGCCTCTGCCTCCCAAGTGCTAGGACTAAAGGCATGCGCCACCATGCCCGGCTTCAAAATCTGTTTTTGTAAGTGTATGTACAAAACGACCTGAGGGCACACGCCTGTAGTCTCAGCAACCCGGAAGCTGAGACTGGAAGATGGTAAGTTGGAGGTCTGCCTGGCCTATGTAGCAATTTCTAGGTCAGCCTGGACTATAGAACAAGACCCTATCAAAAAATAAACATTAGGGGCTGGAGAGGCCAATCAGTGGTTAAGAGCACTGGCTGCTCTTCCACTCCCAGCATCCACATGGTGGCTAACAGCCCTTCATAGCTCCAGTCCCAGAGAATCTGACACCCTCTTCTGGTGTTGCATGGCACTGGTGTACTTACATACATGTAGGCAAAACATCATACACATAAAAATAAATAATAAACATTAACAAGAGCCAGGAAGATGGCTCAGCATTTAAAAGCCCTTTGTTGTATAAGCCTGATAATCTGAGTTTGATCCTTGGAACCCACATAAAATGCTAAAAATCCAGGTGGAGTGAATGGTTCTTGTCATGATTCCAGCACTCTAACAACAAGATGAGAAGCAGAGACGGGAAAATTGTCTGGAAGTTCATGGATCAGTAGAGACCTTGCCTCAGCAAGGAGGAAGGCAAAAGAAACCCCACCACCACCACACACATGCTAAATCTAACCAAAATATTTGTATAGATGACCCCCAGCTTACAATGGGTCAGTTACATATCTTTTTATTTTTACACTGGTGTGAAAGTAATCTACATTCAGTAGGAACTGTGTTTGGAATTTTTATTCTTTTTTTTGAGATAGGGTCTCACTATGTAGCCTTGGCTGGTCTAGGAATTTGCTTTTAAGACCAGGCTGGCCTTGAACTCAGAGAGATCTGCCTGCCTCTACCTCCCAAGTACAGGGATTAAGTGTGGACCACCATGCCCAGCCAAGGATGACCTTGAACTACAGGTCCTCTTGCTTATCCCAAGTGCTGGGATTACAGGCATGTGCCACACATTTGGGTTTGTTTGTTTGTTTGTTTGTTTGTTTTTGCTGCTGTTCTTTTTTGTGATGATTCTCAGTAGAAGCAAGCCATAGCTCCCAAAGATCACACTAGGAAACAACTGATACTCTGTAGTGCACTATGTTGCCTGACTCTGAGGTTTGGTGCATTAAGTGTGTCAGTGACTTAGAGTATTTTAAATTTTGGATGGGCTCACTAGGATATAACCTAATTGTGTCAAGGAGCATCTTTCTCAGTGTATGTGTGTTCATGTCTCTGTATGTGTCTCTGTCTATATTAGATTTTATCTGACATCTCTAGCTATTTATAGGGAAGGTAGTTTTTTAAATTTTTTATTTTTGGTCTTTTTGAGACAGGGTCTCCCTGTAGCCCCAGCTGTCCTGGAACTCACTATGTAGACCAGGCTGACCTTGAACTCACAGAGATCCACCTGCCTCTGCCTCCCAAGTGCTGGGATTAAAGGCATGTGCCACCACGCCCAGCCATTCTTAGGTTTATTTGAGACCACTTAGGAGTCCTAGCCCTCCTGAAAACCTTTTACAGAACTGGGGTTTGCTGTCTGGGTTCTTACTACATAGATTCAGTCTGAATGAGCCATTATGGAGGCAACAAAGATGGGGACAGAAGAGTCAGAAAAACCATATAACTGTCTTTTACTGCTTCAAAAATGACAGTGTGAAATACAAGGCCAAGCCAGTTGACACTGATGAGATGATTCAAGCAGGGTAAGAAGTGATAACAAGCTTTTGATTGTTGTACAGTATTAGACTTTGTTGCTTATACCAGCTTAGAACAAAAATCAGTTCCCATGTCCCAGTGAGTATCACTGCCCATCTTAAGGATGTGTTTTCAGAGAAATTTCTTTCTGTTTCTGAAACACAAAACATAATTTTACTGTGCTATTAAATGTCAAGGTTTTCTGGTAAATCATATTATTGATCATCTTTGTATGTTTAGAATTAGGATATCATCTGGCTTACAGCACATTTGCAAAAACATGAATTGTTTTCCATCATCAATTTTTTTTTTCTTTTTGATCTTTTTAGACAGGGTCTCCCTGTAGCCCCAGCTGACTTGGAACTCCCAGACCAGGCTGGCCTCATTCTCATAGAGATCCTCCTGTCTCTGCCTCCCAAGTGTTGGGATTAAAGATGTGTGCCTCTGTGAGTTCAAGGCCTGCCTGGTCTATACAGTGAGTTCCAGGCCAGCTGGGGCTACAGGGAGACCCTGTCTCAAAAAGACCAAAAAATAAATATAAATTATTACAGCCACTTTTGAAAGAGTTGTATCCTTGCTCTGGAGAGTGTTACTGAATATGTTAAAGCTGTAATGAAATGCTGCTTCTAAAAAAAACAATTCTTCATAAAAATTTGCTCCTTAATAATTAGTAGATGAGAAAAACATTACCATTGAAATCTACCTGATGACTTTATATCCATGCTCAGATGCAGAGGAACTCAGAAAGTAACTGATTGTGAGTAGTAATAATCAGATATATAGAGATTAGAAACATGTGTGCAAACATCTTAGTCAATTGTATTAAAAATGAATTTTTCTGTATGAAACTGTGTATATTAATAATGAAATGGAGGTCTTTTTTAAAGTTTAAAACCTCATTTAATTTTATGTCTTATAGGGTTTATACTGAGTACAATATTGTATAACTGTAAACCTAAAACTTTATCCATTTACCTGTAAACCCAAAAATTTATAGCCAGTTTTGAAAGCGATGCATTGTAGCTCTAGAAATTCTTACTGAATATGTCAATGCTGTTGTAATGAAATGCTTCTTCTAATTATGTGCTCAATTTTGCTATGGAGTTTACCTAATAATATGAACTCAAATGTCTACCCTATCATCAATTAAAGATAACTTCCATTAAGAGAGAAATAAAGTCTTAGCCGGGCGTGGTGGCGCACGCCTTTAATCCCAGCACTCGGGAGGCAGAGGCAGGTAGATCTCTGTGAGTTCAAGGCCAGCCTGGTCTACATAGTGAATTCCAGGACAGCTGGGGCTACAGGGAGACCCTATCTCAAAAAGGCCAAATTAAAAAAAAGAGAGAGAGAGAGAAAGTGTTTAAAATTTAAAAAAAAAGAAAAAGAAAAAATTAGCTTTTTTATTATTTGGTGTGTGTGTGTGTGTGTGTGTGTGTGTGTGTGTGTGTGTGTGTGTGTGTGTGTGTGTGTGTGTGTGCACGCTATCTCGCCACAATTTGTGTGGGGGGGTCAGAGCACATTTTTGAGTCGTTCTCTCTCTCCACTCTCGCAACAGTCACATCTTGCCACAACTTGTATGTGGAGGTCAGAGGACAATTTTCAGGAGTTCTCTCTTTCCACCATGGTATCAGACTCAGCTTGTCAGGCCCCATTTTCAACTTTTATACAAGGTACCATTAAAGTAGGAATCAGTGATAAATATATTTCTTTTTTTCTTTTCTAGCTCAGACCATGACCGACTTCATACCTTAGTAACTGAACACTGTTTTCCGGTAGGTTCTCATCAGAATGGTAGGATGTCTGAATAGGCAGATTCTAGACATCACTTCTGTTTTTTCTTTTTCTTTTTTTCTCTACTCTTCCTTTTATTGAAGCAGGGTCTCATGTAACAGGGCTTACCAATTCACACTTGTACAGTCTCAGCTCCTCTCATTCTGGGATTACATGCGTATGCCACTACCCTGGCTTTGGAAGTTCAGTTCTTTATTTTCAGCTGAATGGTAGTGTCTTGACACAGACTTTGGTAAGAGTCATGGCAAATGAGGAAAGAGACAGTTCCTCAGTGGGCAGTAGCAAACCACAGGGTATAATTGGGAGTTGACTATGAAGCCACACCTCAAATGTCTGTCTTACCAGTTCATGAGGCTTCTATTAGGCAGTGACAGTGCTAACTACTTTTGGGAACCCCCAAAAATGAAGACCTTATAGTTCAGCTAGAAGTTCTGGAATAAGAACTTCGCTTTCTACAAATTCAACTTTAGCTTCTTAGAGCTTACGTTTTTGTCAATCCTCCCAAGAGACATGTGTAACTAATCCATCTTAGCCCTGATTGCTCTGGAAAAACCCTGCCTTTGACTGCTGAAATCTGAGGAGGTAAAATGAAAAGAAAAAAAGAAACATATATTCCACCAACAGAAGTACATGCAGTAATTAGCAGATTATGAAAATGTATGGGAAGAAGCAATACGTTGCTATGTGGCAATGTGGAGTGGCTTTTCAGTGATTGGAGAAGAATGAATCCTTTAGGAGGTAGGTGAGTCTGGAGTTGTGATTTAGATAAATGAGTTTCAAGGGAAGCTTGAACAGTTAGCTTGATCATGACTTGAGGAGAGCTGTGTGTAGTAGTGTTCACATGTAATCCCAGCACTTGAGAAGCAGAAGGAGGATTACTTTGGGTTCAAGGCCAGCCTGGGCTATAGTGTAAGATCTTATCTCAACCCTCACCCTCTCTGCCCCCAAAGTGGGAAGGAAATAGGTACAAGAAAGTATCAGATGGACTTCCCATAGGCTGTAGTGCTGATGTGGCAGTGCGGTACCCTTGCAGGGAAGGAAAAGCCCAACTGAACCTCTTGTCTCCCCTTAGGATATGGTCTGGGACCTCAAGTATAAGACCGTCCGCTGGAGCTTTGTGGAATCTTTAGAGCCAGCCCAGGTGGTTCAGGTTCGCTGTTCAAGCCTGGTAAACCAGAGCAACATGTATGGCCAGGTCACTGTTCGGCTGCATACACGGCAGGTAGTCAACGTTCTGCTTTCTTTCCAGCTTGTCTTCACTCTCAGGTTGGGCATCTGCTTCTGGACTACTCACTTCAGGACTGTTCGGTTTTATGGTGCTGGGGATTGAACCCAGGGCCTCGTGCATGCCATGTGAACATGCCACATTGCGCTCCACCCCTTTTCTTAGGATCCTGGGTTCTAAGGAAAGGTTTACCAAGGTCTTCTTTGCATTGTCATCATTCCCTTGCTACTGCTAAATGTTATCACCACTAAGACATGCTATGAAGACTGTCTCTCCCACCCTTCTCTTGTTGATTCCCCCACCCTACCCTATCCCATCAAAGAACCTCTAAGAGTAACATGTCAGTGGTTGATTAGTCCTAGATCAGAATTTTGAGATACTTTTAATTTTTTATTTAAAATTTTTTATTAAGATGATTTCAAAAGTGGCCCAGTGTGGTGGCGCACACCTTTGATTCCAGCTCTTAGGAGGCAGAGGCAGGTGGATCTCTGAATTTGAGGCCAGCCTGGCTTACATAACAAATTCCAAGCCATCCAGGGCTACATAGGAGACCCTGTCTCAACAAAACAAAAACAAGTGAGATTATTTTTAAAATGGTTGTATGGCAAAAACAAAAGAAGACAAAATACCTTTAATATGTGAGATTTGATTTTCTTGTAGACTCTGGCTATCTATGATCGGTTTGGCCAATTGATGTATGGACAGGAAGACATACCCAAGGATGTCCTAGAGTATATTGTGTTTGAAAGACACCTGCTGAATCCATATGGAAGTTGGAGAATGCATGGCAAGATTGTACCCCCATGGGCACCCCCTAAGCAGTCCATTCTTAAGGTAAGGCAGTTTTCATAGTGTAAGATGCATGTATGTTACTTTTTTCATTTTACCCCCTCAAATTTCATCAGGAAAGGTGGTGACTGGCACTTAAAACATTCCTCTTGGGCTCCACCTAGTGGAGAGAGGAAATGATGCAACACCAGGGAACTGGAAATCTTCCTCTTTGGGGTTGGAGGCAGGGGTAAAGCCCTTCTGGGTAAGCCTTCACGGTTGGTAGGTAACTTAGCCTCCTGTTCTTTCAGACTTTGATGGTTCCCGGTCCTCAGCTGAAACCCTGGGAGGACTACGAGGAGGTACAAGGAGAGGCCCAGAAACCTCAGCTAGCCTGATGGCAAAAGTGACTCCTGGAGGGGAACCCAGGTGATGGGGCTGATAGAAGCTGCAAAGTCATCACTACCCAGTAGGCTTCCCCTGCTCTGTCCTGCCTTGCCTGGGTCTTTTCAGCAGGCCTGTCATCAGTCATAGCTGATATCTGGGCCCAGGTAGGTGGCTGAGATGCTCAGCCATGGACCAGTTTTCTTTTTAAAATCATAGTTTGGTTTCTGAGTCTAAATGAAAAGTAGTATGTTTGAGAGAACAAATACCTGATACCAGGTTTTTTTCATAGCAGGAACTGTGGAAGCAAACTGACAGCATTCTTTTTTTTTAAATCATGGGGCAGGGATCAGAGTTTGAAATAAAGTATCTTCAAAGTGCTGAGCAATTTGAATTTTGTGCATTCTGTACATTTGCTCTGGTGTACTGGTTCTACTTCAGGTGTCAGAAGTAGAAAGCCAGTATAGTTGTGAGTTATGTAACTTCCAGGAAATCCAGACCTGGGAAGAATAATTAGTGTTTATAAAACAGGATATCAGCCAGCCGTGGTGGCACAGTGGTATACATCTTTTGTAAGCCTTTAATCCCAGCATTTGGGAGGCAGAGGCAGGTGGATCTCTGTGAGTTCAAGGCCAGCCTGGTCTGCATAGCAAGTTCCAGGCCAGCAGGGGTTACAGGGAGGCCCTGTCTCGAAAAGACCAAAAAATTAAAAAAATTTAAAAGCAAAACAAAACAGGAAATCAGGCTGTAGTCCCAGCACTTCAAGGGGCAGTGGAGGCATCCTTGGCTGTGTGACAAGTGCTGGATTAAAGGTGTATGCCACCATGTCTAGCTGATTCTGATTTCTTGCACCTCCTGAAGATACTATTCATTCTAGCACAAGATTACACCAGAGTACAAACCTTCATAAAGTCAAACAGCCCAGCCCCTACTTGTTCCTTGGCTTTACTGGGACTATTTGGAGAAAGATGTCAGAGTTCATATCCTCTGTCCTGGGGCATCTAGGTATGAAAAGAGAAATCATTTTATTCCAGTAACAAGCTTGGCTCATAATGCTTTTGAGTTCCTCAGTCCAGTGTGGGTTCCTATTTAAAAATAGAGCCTGCTGGGGCTGTAGCTTAGATGGTAGAGTATTTGTTTTAAATGTATGAGGTTCTAGGTTCAGTGCTCAGAAACAAAAAGATAAACTAGGAGTTGGAGATTTAGCTCAGTGGTAGAACACTTGCTTGTTTAGCAAGGGCAAAGTCCTAGGTGCTCAAGCTCAAAAAAAAAATAAAAAAAAGAAAAGAAGGAAGAAAGAAAAAAACTAGGGCCTTGGTTTTCATATTCATTTTTCGCAAGCCCAGAATTCGTCATTTAAGGTACTTTTGACCTTGTCTTGAGAGTGGAATAAAAAGAAACTAATTAGGTCAGAAATTTGTACCTAAGTCTTTAATCTTTCTGGACCTGCTATTCTAGCAAAGTTATAAACAGGGAAGGCCTCACTTAGGGAAACTCATGTTTTATTTCATTTTATTTATCTCATCATTTTAAAACGTGTGTGTGTGTGTGTGTGTGTGTGTGTGTGTGTGTGTGTGTGTTTGTGCAGGTCAGCGGACAACTTTTGGGAGACAGTTCTTTCTTCCCACTTTGAATTCTGGCGATTAAACTCAAGTCTTCAGGCTTGCATGGCAAGCACTTCCTGATGAACCATCTCACTGGCCCTAAACTGGTGTGAGTTTTTTTATTTGTAAATTAAAAAAGATTTTTTATGTGTGTAAGTGTTTTGCCTGCATGTGTGTAAGTGTACATGTGTGCAATATCATGGAGGGCAAAAGGTGTTAATTCCCTGGAACCAGAATTACAGGTTGCTCAGTCATCATGTATTGCTGGGAACTGAACCTGGGTCCTCTGGAAGAGCAGTAAGTGTTCTCAACTGCTGAGCCATCCTTCCTGACCCCCCAAACTAGTTTATAAGACCTTGCAAGTACTGACTGCGGAAACAGATACTTTCGTGCGTGCATGCGTGCGTGTCTGTGTATATGTGTGTGTGTGTGTGTGTGTGTGTGTGTGTGTGTGTGTGGGGAAGATAGCACTGGTGGGCTACTCTAAAGCAGCCACTCTTGTACTGCTTAGTGTCAACCCAGAGGGCTTAAAATGTACAGCAGTTTGCAGCATTACTGCCCAAGTGAGGTTTGGACACATCCTATTTGTGTGAGTCCTGGATTAAGGCAAAATGAGAAGTGCTTTGAGCCGGATCCATAGCAGGGGAGGGTAGAGAAGCAGAGAAACAAAAAAGCAGTTATTAGGCAAATGTTACATTGATTTCTCTTGAATTTATAAAAGCAGTGCTTCAAATAAGCTATTTCATTCCGTTGCCCTGGATCTGTCTCAGGCGTCTCTAGATAATCCTAAAGAGCAGCCAAGCAATAACTGCTACCAGGGAGCCAGAGGATAAGTGCATTTTTCATTTCCTCTGGGATCAAATCCAGCTGAGCAAATGGCTCCAGATGTGAAGGGTTGGCTAGGAGGACCAACCAGAGAGCATCTGCAGTGTCAGATGGTTCTGGGGACTGATAGAATTAGCCAGACTACCTGAAGTCCTGTCTGCTGCAGGGTGGCTACCCTGGGCTTTGGAACAGGCACTGCTCTCTCCTCACCTGTCTGCTGTCCCTCTGTTGAAAAAGAAAATCACCATTATGAATAAGATAGAGCCAGCTTCAGTAGTCTAAAGCAAGCATTCTTTATTCTTTCTCTTCATGGCTATTTATAACAGTGAATGTAGGGGCAACTTTGCTCCTTCCAGCTAGTCCAGACCCAATGGGCCTGCTCTGGGGTACACAATAAGTCCACCTTGGCTCAAAAGATAGGGGTTAAGTAGTCACAGCCTAGAGCAAGAACATACTGCTGTAGAAACCCAGTTCTCGAGACCTGGGTAAGTGGGAGGGCGCAGTGTGGGAATGAGGGCAACTGGGCCCCAAAGGAGAGCAGGGGATTCCATTCTTGTGCTCCCTTTTAGAAATGGAGCACTTGGCTTTTTTTTTTTTTTTTTTTTTTTTTTTTTTTTTTTTTTTTTTTTTTTTTTGTGAAGTCCTTTATCTGCTCAGCATTGACATGTAGACTCCTGGTTTTCTCACTGGGCACTGGGTCTCACTTTTGGTTTTCTTCCTCATATCAATACTGTTAGAGGGTGGGACTTCCTGCTGTCTTTAATGTCTCTGCCAGCTCTGCTACATTAGCCTGCCTCCTTCCCCCACCCCCACCTTACTTCTCTCCCAAGTGGAGTCTTCTTTGTATATTTTTCTTTTCCTTCATTTCCCTCTGGTGATATCATCTAACACCAGCCTTCTGTTATCTAGTGCTACCTAAGCAAAGTAGCCTGAACTGATTGTTGAGAAGAAATCCAAGCTGAGAGAGCTGCTAAGAAAGAAGCATTGTGTAAATATTATGCCTTTCCGGCCAGCAGGCTTCTCACTTGCCAAGAGCTCTACTCTTTCTGAGGGCGAAGTTGGAATGCTGACTAGGAACACGACCTCAGGTCCCTCTGAGAAAGAGACTCCTATGCCCTCTTGATAACTGAGCAAGTAAGTCAGAGTGGTTCTTGCCTGAGAACCAGAGATTTCTCCTTGGCTCCAGTTGCCTTGGCTAAGGAAGGGTGTTGTTCCTGACTACAGAAAGACTAGGAGGAGCAGCCAGTGAGGTGAGCCCAGGAGACTGGCAAAAGGTAGGGCAGAAAGATAGGAAGATGGAGAAAGCACATTCCTTGTTTTCAGTCTCTGTTGTCACATTGGATGCCAGCTGTTGACATTCATGTCAGAGTTTCTCATCTCTACCTTAGCAGTCAAGCAGGGCATGTATGGGAAGTCATAAAGCAGAGAGTCAAAGGACAAGTCCCTTGTGCTGGGCATGTGTCTTAGTAGTAGGGTGCTTGCCTAGTATTCCTAAGATCAAGTACCGTACATACACACAGAAAAACAAAGGCTGGGCTGGGGATGTAGTTCAGGTGATAGAGTTGTGTTTATTCATGAAGCCCTGGGTTCAGTTCCCAGAACTACATAAACTGGGAGTGGTGGTACACACTTACAATCCTAGAGTGCAGGAGCATCAGGAGATGAGGGTCATCCTTAGCTACATATCAAGTATGAGGCCAACCTGGGCCTATCCTTGGCGGAGGGTTGGGGAGGTGTAGAAAAGGACAATATCTGTAAGACTTTTTCCAGACACCTATTTTGTATCATTTTTCTCTAATTAAACTTTCATCTTTTTTTTTTCTTTTGGTCTTGTTGAGACAGGGTCTCCCTGTAGCCCCAGCTGTCCTGAAACTCACTATGTACATAGACCAGGCTGGCCTTGAACTCACAGAGATCCTCCTGCCTCTGCCTCCTGAGTGCTGGGATTAAAGGAATGCACCACCACACCTGGCTCATCCTTTTTTTTTCAGTGCAAAGTGACTAATTGCCTCATGTACCTGCTGTCATACTATCCCCAACATGGTGGACTATCTCCCCTTCACTTAACCCATCTATAGTCACAACATTATTTTGTATATGTATATACAGTTCTTGCAGCATCGATTGTTGAAAAGATGCTTTTTTCTCCATTGATTGACTTTTTTTTTTTTTTTTTAAATTTTATGTGTATTGAGTGTATTGCCTGCATGTATGTAAGTGCACCCATGTCATGCAGTGCCATGGAGATCAGAAGATGGCTTCGGATTCCCCTGGAACTGGAGTTATAGATGGTTGTTAGCCACCATGTGGATGCTGGGAGTTGAACCTGAGTGTTCTGCAAGAGCAGCCAGTGCTCTTAACCACTGAGCCATCTCTCCAACCCCTAAAGATTTATTTTTAATTGAGTGTATGTGTATCTCTGTCTGTGTCTGTGCACATGGCTACAGGTATCCTCAGAGGCCAGAATAGGAAACTGGATTACCTGAAGCTGGAGTTATAGGCTGTTGTGAGCCACCCAGTGTGGGTACTGGAAACTGAACTTGGGCAGTATGTGCTCTTAACCATTGAGCCGTCTCTCTAGCCCTTGTCTTTCATCTTGAATTACATGGCTTTATAACCATCTCTTGACCACAGTCTGTGTTGCCACCACCTTGTGTGGTTTAGTTCTTTACTACCTCAGGGCAGAACTGAATCTCCTTGTTCTGGGCACTGCCAGTTGCCTTTCACTGTTAACACTGATCTTGTAAGTTAGAGTCCTGATTCTGAGTCTTGTGTCAGGTACTCTAAATGGATGGTACTCTCTTTGGAAAGAGAGTACAGCTTTTGTTCCCTAAGCAGGAAAAGGAGAAGTAGAAAGGATGAGATGTCTCTTGGAGTCCAAGCTGTACCCTTCCTATGTAGTTGTGAGTTGTGTCTTTCTGGGTAGAGAAGTAGCTTAGTGACTTTGATTTAGCTCTTTAGGAATGCTAGGTAGTATGTGAAAAGGCTCTGAAGCTAGCTCTGTTTAACCTCACCTATGGAGCTGTTACTCCCAGTCCCAAGGATAGGCAGGTAGACGGCCAAGTTCATCATCTTGAGCATCAGCAGTCATTTGTCATTGGTCTTCAGTTGTGGAGAAAAACTGAGCCTTGGCTTCTTGCGGACTTGGCTCTGGAGCTAATTTGGCTCTGGACACAAGCCTTAAAGGTTCTTGTTCTCTGACACCTTCCAGAGTAAAAGTACTTGGTGGCTCACCCACTTCAGGGTGGGGGCTTTTGCATTTCTCAGGGGCTATAGGGATATCTGCCTGAGTTGCTGGTAAAGCCAGGAGGCTAGATTTCTCAGATGGGGCTCTAGTTTCCTCCCATGGACAGATGTCTGCTATGGTGCCCTTGATTTTATTTTCTTCTGGATCTGTGACTTCTCATTGACACAGCTCTGCTGTCCTGTTCCCTATGTTGCTTGCTCTGTCAGGGCTGGCCTTGGGATGAACTGTGTCTAGAGTGTCTGCCTCAGGGAAGAGCCCCTCTGACCCTGTGCCTTCCCAGGGGTAGACTATCTCTTGCTCATTATTGAGTTTTGCTGCTGCTTTTGGAAAATGTTCTTCAGCCCCTCCAGACCCTGCCTTGGCAAGGATCTCCTCTTGCCCTTGTGATTTTCTCTGCATCTCCTGTTCTAGTCCTCCCTCTCCTGCTGCTCCTGGATTTACCTCCCAGGGGCAGATCTCTGCTCTTTTGGCAGAGAGAGTCTCTTCCACTTCCCATGGATACACTTCTGCCACTCCAGGTCCCACACAGCCTGCTACCTCAGAACTGCCTTTGCTTCCATCAGAAGCCCTGGGGGCCGGTTGCAGAAATAGACCCCCAAAGTCCTGACTCTCCCTGGGACACATAGCCTCCTGCCTCCCGAAGTTGCTGGTCTGTGGCATTTTCTGAACTGCTAAATCTTTGAACTCTGGTTTTTCAGAGTCTCTTCCCTTCTCCTGAGATTCCTCTTCCCTTCTCCTGAGAGTCTTTCCATCTTGTCTTAACGTCCCTTTCTCCAGGATAGTCTATAGTCACCTCCCAGGGACAGATCTCAGCCTTGGTTCTTCTATCAGGGTTATGCATATCAGAGTCAGGAGCATCCCATGGGCCCACCTCAGTGACCCTACCCTCAGCGCTGACCAGTGTCTGGGAGCTGGCTCTAGTTTGGCTAGGGTGCTGGCTGACTGGGTAAGAGGAGGAGCCTACTGGCACCATGCTTTCCCATGGACAGACAAACTGGAGCTCATTGCTTGTTCTTCCCTCATCATCAACATGGAATTCTGCTTTCAAAGCTGGAGCTTTTCCTTGGGTCATGTGTTCTGAGAGGGAACCTGTCTTGAGGTCTCCTCTCAGGTCTCCCTTCTTTGATGCTTCATCACTTGCTTCTAAGGAATGTCCCTCTGCCACCTAGCTACTGGTGGTACTGGCTGAGTCTGAAACCTTAGAGATCTGAACAGATGGCTCCCTCAAGACCTTGTCCTCCCAGGGACAGAAGTGTGCCTCCCAGGCACACTTCCCAAGGACACACCTGCATCACCTGTTGCTGATGGAGTTTAGCCTCCCATTTTGTTATGCCTTCTTCTTGGAAGGTGAGTCTCTCCTTTTCTAGGTTTTTTTTTTTTTTTTTTTTTTTCCTCTTTGCTGACTCATTACCCATCTCCTTCTCTAGTCCCTTCCCAATATTTCCTTCATTCACTTCCCAGGGACAGATCTTGGCTTTTTCACTGATAGGAGCTTCCTCTGCTTCCCAGGGACACATCTCAATAGGCCTAGAGCTTACAGGGTTCAGTTCCTGTAGTCCAGCTGTTTATCTATCAGTGTCCAAAGTGTCTGAATGCTGAGAGTCCCCTGGACCCAAGCTTTCCCAGGGACAAACCTCCTGCTCCATGGTTGGCCTCTCTGGCTTCGTAGGAGCAGCAGCTGTCAGCCTAGGTCCAGAATCTGCAGAAGTCTGACCTGTATCATTTGGCGATTTCCCACTGACCTCAGTGGCCACAGCCTTTTCTTCCCCTGTTCTAGTACCCACTTCCCAGGGACAGATCTTGACCTCAGGTGTCAGGGTGTCCTCCGCGTCCCAGGGGCAGATCTCTGCAGTTTTGCTTCCCATACCACCCTGAGTCTGGATAATGGCTTGGGGTTTCTCTGTGTCTTCTCTGGGGAAGTTACCAGGGTCTACACTTTCCCAGGGGCAGATTGTTTCCTGCTTTGGGATCTACTCCTCAGACTTTTCCCATACTTTGACATCTTGGATTCCTGCTTTCCCGGGAACTTTTTCCTTATCTTTTTGAGATTCTCCTTCATTTGATGTGTGTCCTGATATCCTGTCCTCTGTTCATCCATCTGCTCTACAGGGACAGATTACTGCTGTAGAAGGTGTTGCTTGCTTTTCCTCTGGCTTGCACACTTCCCAAGGACACACCTGCATTGCTCTGCTGTCCCCATTGTGTAGGAGCTGGCTACCAACCTTGGACAAGGACTTGTCTGGATATGGGCTGGATTGCACAGGGGCTGTTTCTTCCCAGGGACACGCCGTTGCCTGCCCTTGACTGGCTGTTGGCATTGTTCTCAGAGTTTGCCCTCCATCTCTCTGGAATACCCCTTTCTGGAGATTTTCTCCTTTCTTGGGAGAGATTCCCCACCAGCTTCCTGACCCAATGTTTCCTTCCTGGTTAGCTCATCACCCAGCTCCCAGGGACAGACCTCGGCTTTTTTATCAGGAGATGTATCTCCTATCTCCCATGGGCACACCTCTGCAAGGCTACTGCCCAAACTCCCAGAACTTCCTGGGGCTTGAAGTGAGACTGTCAAGGGACCCCGAAAATCTGTACTTTCCCATGGACAAAGAGACACCAGGTCTCTGCCAAGATTCTGTTCTCTCCAGAAGGCTGCCTTCTTGGGGGCTTTCTGCCTTTCCCCAGGGAGTTCCTTCATTCCCCTAGCCAAAGTCTCCTCCCTCCCATCACTCATCTCCCAGGGGTGGAGCACTGCTTTGACAGTGTCAGGTGGAGGAACCTCTGGGCCATTGGCTTCCCCTGGATGCTTCTCTCCCTTCCTTGCCTCTGCACTGCCCACCACCTTAGACCTGCCCTGGGTTCTGTCAGAGTCCTGATGAGGAGACAGATCTCTAGTAACAGCACTGTCCCAGGGACACACTGCCTCCTGGCTTCTGACCAGCCTCTCTGATTTTTTCCGAGTTACGGCACACACACCTTTGGGCTCTGATTTCTCTGGTGCTTTCATTCTCTCCTCCCAGGAGCCACTTAGATCTTTCCTTGATGGCTTCCTCTCAAGGTCCCCTTCACACCCCTCCCAGGAGTAGACTTTGACCTTGTTGCTACTGTCCAGCTGACACGTTTCTGACTCAGTGACTTCCCAGGGGCAGACCTCTGTCACCATGTGGTCAGCATTGCCTAGGGGCTGGAGGCCAGCTTTGGGCAGCTCTTGCCACCCCACAGGGGATTCCTTTGCTTGTTCAAGTCCTCCAAAACTTGCCTCAGTGTGGCAAGCCCTATTTTACTTGTTCTCTCAACTTTCCGCTCCCCTAGACCCTGGGATGTCCTCTTGCTTCTGTCCTCTTGTTCTCTTCTGTCCTCCTGGTGACAGACTTGGAGCATTCTGCTGGTGTGAGCATTCTGTTGGTTCTGGAGGGACTCTTCATCCTCACAGGGGGTGAGGGCAGCCTGTGGGCTCACTGCTTTGGGCCTGCCTAGCCTGGGAGATTGGGGTGGAGCCCCCATGCCCACCCCTGCAGGCTTGCCCTTAGTCTCAGGGTTGTCTTCCCCACCCTTCTTCTCTTTGTACGTGCTTTGAGAACGGGTCAGAGCTCTGATGGCCAGGCTCAGGCTGCGCATGGAGCCCTGCTGCATGGGGGTCTTGAGGCTGTGGGATTTTGAGAAGACCTTGGGTTTGCCCTCATCCATGTCATCAGCTTCCCCCTGGACATGTCCAGACTCTGTGTCTGTCTCACTTTCCCCAGCTCCCCTTTTCTCCACTGTGACAGAGAGGGCCCTCCAAATCTTGGCACAAGCTGGGGCAGGGGAGTGGCTGCTTCATTCTGGCCCCGAGAGGCCTTCCTGGCCCATGTTTTCTTTCTTGCCTGGCAGTTCTGCATTCTCCCAGGGGCAAATGAAAGTGAGTAAGGTGGAGCTTTGGGAGAGCACAGGGACTGGTGCGAGGATAGAGGCAGGGGCTGGGGCCAGGGCTGGCAGCAGAGCAGGAGCCAACGTGGAGATAGAAGTGGGAGACAGCATTCTTGGCTCTCCCAGGCAGGCCCCAGACAGGGCCAAGATGGGTGTGGAGACCTGGTGCCGGATGGGTGGGTGAGGCAGCCTTCTCCCAGCCTCCTCATGAGGCCTGCCAGAGGTGTGAGAGCTGTCCATGCTGCTTCTCTTGGCAGGGGAAGGTGGGGCTGACAGTGGAGCCCATAGAGCCCGCTCCAGCCTCCTGGTTGATGGCCTCTGCACTGGGCTCACCATGGCAGCCTCTGCTTTCTTTCGCTCCTCTCTCTCTTTCACCCACCGATAGGTTTCTTCCAGGTAGGTCTGACTGGCCACAAGCAGAGCCTTTTCCCTGGAGCCAGCCACAACGCTGAATGACTTCTGCAGGGAGGTAGGCCAGGCTCTGGGGAGTCTCTCTCCCACTGTCAGGTTGTGGGCACTGGCTGACCTGAAGCCCTGGGCTGGGGGCCCCTCCACTGACTCCTGACCCTCCACTTGTGAGGCCTTCTTGGACAGGTTCCTTCTCAGTAAGGAGTCTAGTAGAGTCAGGTCTTGCTGGCTGTGGTGGTAGTAAGTGCTGAGTTTCTTGCACAGGGCTGGTGGCCTCTCAGATTCCTGAAGGCTGGAGTTGAGGAGCCGGCAGTGGCAGCGAGAGGAGCCTGGCAGGCTGCAATGGCCCTGGGAGCCTGAGTCCCAGGAGTGTTGTTGGGCCAAGGCCTCAGGGAATTCAGCCAAGTACCTCCTGAAGGAGCGGCCCAGCCCCTGATATGAGCTGCCCTGCTTCTTGGGCAGGTGGGGGTTATTAGCAGCCATTTCCTTGGTCTTGTGGACTTGTAGCTGGGCATAGAGCTTCTTCAACTCATCCTGCAGGGAGGAGAGGGAGGAGGAGTAGAGCTGCCTTTGAGATGGTCAGGCTGAGCCCAGGAGCCTCCTGACAGTGCTGATCTCCCTCTTGGCCCTTATTTATTTAGACTACTTTCTCTGGGGTATCTCTGCTCCATCAAACTATGTCCCTTTCCTGTTTCTAAAATTCAGAATTCACCACTCTGGGGGCTAGAGAGATGGCTCAGTGGTTAAGAGCACTGGCTGCTCTTGCAGAGAACCCAGGTTCAATTCCTAGCACCCACATGGTGGCTAACAACTGTCTGTAAATCCATTTCTAGGGGATCTGACGCCCTCTTCTGACCTCCTCAGGCATTGCATGACACAGGTGCACTTATATACAATGACAGTGATACACTTATATACAATGACAGTGATACACTCATACACATAAAATAAAAATAAAAGCGCCCCCCCCCCTTTTCTTTTTCTTTTTTGAGAGCCTCTCACTGTGATGCCCTGAACCTGGCCTTGAACTTGTTATTGTAGACCAGGCTGGCTTTGAGCTCACAGATCCACCTGCCTCTGCCTCCTGAGGCACTGGGATTAAAGGCATATGCCACCACATTTTCTTTACCTCTCTGTGCCTATCTTCTATAAAGTGACAATACCTGCCTGACCTGTGTTTGCTTCCTTAGCAGATTCTAGGAGGTTGAGGGAACTAGTGGATGGGAAGAATGTTTGTTACATGTCAGTGTAAATTAAGGCTTTCTGTGCTCTGGATTTGTCTGCAGAGCTGACACAAGGATAGCATATTGGTTTGTATTCTAGAGGGATTGAGGTGGTGTGGTTGTGGCAAAGCCTCTCTACTCTCTTTGATTTATCAGTTGGATTAGAGAACCTCAGCCCTTACCTGAGGAGGGCATTGGCAGAACAGGCAGAGTTCAGAGGGTAAAGAGGTCACAGGGGGCAACCTGCAGAGGCAGTTGGGATGAGGAAGGAACTATGAGGACTCCTTTCCAAGGCTATAGGCAAGTCAGGTAGGTGTAGGAGCACCAGTGGAGGTAGAGGGCATAGACAGGTGACTTTCCAAGATGGCTTCTCTTTCCTAGGTTTTATAAAACCACAGGGTGTTGGGGCTGGAGAGATGGCTCAGTGGTTAAGAGCACTGACTGCTCTTGCAGAGGACCCAGGTTTGATTCCCAGCACCAACATGGCAGCTACGAACTGTCCTTAACTCCAGTTCCAGGGGAATCCGACACCCTCTTCTGACCTCCACGGCACTGCATGACACTGGTGCACTCACATACATGCAGGCAATACACTCATACACATAAAATAAAAATAATAAATAATATTTTTAAAAAGATAACAGTTCATTACATTAAAAAAAAAAAACCCCACAGGGTGTCCTGATTTCTTCCCCGACTCCCAGCTCTTATAAGTTCCCCTTGAGAAGGAAAATAAGAGGAAGCCTGCTTTTCCAGTGCAAACCCAGGAGAGCTTCCTTTGTCTAAGGCCTGCCAGGTCCAGTGAGAGAAAGGGAACCTGGTGGCCACTCACTGCCTGAACTTCCTAGGCTCCAGGGATGACCTCAGTGTCACCATCCATTCCACTTTGCCAGGGACCCAAGGCTTTTTCAGTCTCCCCCCACCCACCCCACCCCACAATGAGGATAAGAGCTTACAGGTCCATTCTTGTCTGGCCTGGGCCTTCAGGGAATGCATTTGGGGCTTTTGTGGTCTTTTCAGTTGGGTAGTATGTGGCCTCCTTTGAATAGTCAGAGAGTCCAGGGTGGTGGTAGAGAAGGGAGGTGCAGTCTTGGAGGGAGGGCTTCAGTGGTTCCCAGCCTAGTGGCAGCACAACAGTGTTTTCCTGCCCAGTCCTTAAAAGTTGCTATCAGGGGCTGGAGAGATGGCACTGGCTGCTCTTGCAGAAGACCCAGTTTTCCCAGCACCCACATGGCAGCTAACAGCTGTCTGTAACTGCAGTTCCAGGGGATCCGACACCCTCTTCTGACCGCCACAGCCATTGCACACACAGGTGCACTTACATATATGCAAGCAAAACTTTCATATGCATAAAATAAAAGCAAATTTTTAAAAACTTGATATCAGCCGGGCGTGGTGGCACACACCTTTAATCCCAGCACTCGGAAGGCAGAGGCAAGTGGATCTCTGTGAGTTCAAGGCCAGCCTGGTCTACATAGTGAGTTCCAGGACAGCTGGGACTACAGGGAGACCCTGTCTCAAAAAGACCAAAAAAAAAAAAGTTGATATCAAAGGAATTGGAGGTGAGGGAGGTGGCACCTACCTGGATGTCTCCTAAGTCCGGGCTGCACTCGCTCCAGGCTGTGGCAATGCTGCTGTTGAGGTAGGAGCCTGATCGCTGCATCTCCAGCTCGTCTTCATATACTTCATCCAAGATCTCCTCTCGGGGAGATGCTCCTGGCTTCCAGAACTGACCAAGACAGGTGGGAGGTGGAGGTGAGCGACACCATGACTTTCTAATCACTCCTGTACCCTCACCTACCGTGTGAAATGTCTTTACTTTGTGAGTCTTTACACCTCTGATCTGGAATTACAGGGCTTCAGAAGGTTTTTTACCTCCTGTCATTGTCCCTGTTTCTAGTTGAGAGACCAGGGCAATGTCCTTAGGCATGGCCTCCAACTCCCCCACCCGCCTCTATAAACTGCTCCCACATTTTCAGAGTTGGATTAAAAGGATCCAGAACCTGAAGCAGGAAATAGTTTTATTTCCCAACCAAATCCTTACCTAGAATCTCAGAGCTCATTCATCCCCAGCCCCTTTCATCATTCTCCCATTTACCTGGAGAGGGCACTGAGGTGGTGGCAAGCCCATGGTGTCCCTTACTGAAGGGCTGGGGCCCTGCTTCATGCAGGAGGGGAAAGATCTCTCACCTTAGGGATGAAGATCAGAGCCAGTGTGGCTGTGACTGTGCTGTGGGTGTGGAGGAAGAAGAGAAGGAGGGTCCAATCTGGGTTCAAGGAGGGAACCAGCACAAACCTGAGGGCAGAATGGGACAGAGGGGTCATTGGTGCAGGTGGGAATAGCTTGCCTGCTTCACCTCACTAGCTCTTATCCCCTGCCCCAGGCCCAGCCTGCCATTCTGCCAGGAGAATACCCTTCTCTGGGTTTTGGTGTAATCTCAAGGCTCTCATTAATCCTCACCTCTGAGAAGCCCTCCTAAGTGACTTCACCTCACTGCCTCTGCCTGCCGAGTTTACAGAACAGAACTGTGCTCATGACTGTTAGGATCACCCTGTGGATTGATTTTGCCTCCACCACAGGGCCAGGTCCCCATAAACACACAGCAGGCCTGCTGCTCCAAAGGCTGAGGAAGGAGTCGGGGAGAAGTAGGGGGTGGAGGGAAGGCTGGAGAGAAGATAGGAATGAGGCATACTTGCTCTTCTTGTGGATTGGGGTGTTTCCTGAATGAGATAAGGGGTGTAGAGGGACTATGTAGAGCTGTTCCCTACCCAGCTGGGCATAGCAGTGTAGCAAGGATTGCTGAGATGGACACTGCACTCGGGTGGGTGGAGCCTCGGGTGGTAGGGTGCATTCTCACCTGGCTGTGTGGAAGGCAGCAGAGAGCAGCAGGTCATTGTGCAGGGCGATGCTCATGTAGCGCGGTTCGTGGAAGGCTGAGGGGAGAGCTCGGGTGGCGTAGCAGAGGAAGCTGCCCCAGCACAGCAGCAGCATTTCCGCTGTGGGGAAGTGGGGGACAGAGCTGTTACCATCCCAGCAGCCTGCTGACCTTGTCTGTGCTGCAGAGCCTGGACCTGGGAGAACTAGCACGAGGACCCTGGAGATACAGCCTGGGGTTTGAGGGAGACTGGGCTCAGCAGAAGCAGCTCACCCACAACCATGATGTAATCCCAGCGGTCATGGTGACAGAGGTAGAAGTGGCGGCCGCTGTAAATGTGGCCTCGAGTCACCAGAGGTGTGTGCTCCAGGGCTTCTGCTGTCCATAAGACCAAGAAGCCCAACACCATCAGCAGAAGCAGCCCCAGACGCCGCAGCAGTTGCCCGCTGCTCGGGGGCAGGCCCTGCTGGGCCGTTCGAGACAAGAACAGCTGGAGCACCCTGAAGGGAGTAGGGTACACATGAGATAGCCTGAGAGGATTAATGATGGGGCCAGAGCTCCGGTTCTGTCCACCACTGCCCTGCCCTCCACGTGTTTACCTGTTTGTCCTTTCCACAGTTTGCTGCCCACCCCCTCAAATGCTACATGGAAGGGAAAAGGCTGCGTGATTGAATCAAGCTTCAGGGTATAGGGGAAAGGTCTGGCTTTGAAAAACTCCATTTAGTGAACGAGCTGGGTGGGTGATGGTGGGGGAGCAGCAAAGTCTGTCAGGGTCCTACCTGTGAAGTTTCAGGGTAATGGTTCCATAGAGGACAGCAAAACCCAGAAGCCGGACCCAGCGAAGAGCAATGCAGCAGAACACACTGGACTTGAAGTACAGGATGAATACCTGACGGGAGGGGGCAGAAAGAACTGCTCTCCACTGTGCTTCCACTCTTAATCTTCCTAACAGCCCTGCAGTGGTGTCATACCCGCCCCATTCTACAGAGGAGCAGCTTAAGCATTAGGGAGGGCAGGTAACTTGCCCTAAATAACACAGATCAAAAAACTCTTGAGTCTGGAGCTCTGATTGCCTCCAGAGCTCACTAGGGCAGTCTGCCTTTTGTGGGAGTGGGTAGGGGAATTTGAAGTTGCCAAATCTTCCTAAGAAGGTAGAGCAGGATTCCAGGGTTTGGAGGGTGACAGTCGGGATATACTAGAAAGTAAGGGCAGCTGCTGGTCACAGACTCACAGGAAAGTAGAGCAGTAAGGATCCAAAAAGGATGGTTTCCAGCAGAATGACTCCAGATGCCCGGATCCTCTGTGAACCCAGAGAATAAAGAGGCATATCACCAGGGCGGTTAGGAGCACCAAGCCTGACTGATGGGGCTGGAGGGTCTCAGGCCTGTGTGAAGGCTCACCCTGCACCTGGGCTTCCTCCTGCAACACTAGCTTCACCTCTCTCTACAGCCACTCTTCCAGGCTCACCTCAGGCTCTACTACACTGCCACCAAGGGTCACTTTAGGCTTACAACAAAGGTTGCCAGAGCTAGAAAGGGTCTCTGATGGTCCTTCAAGCTTTGAGTCATTCTGCAACTTGCTCTAGAATAAGATGCTCCTTCTTTGTCCAATAAACATAGTTAGTCTTCAGTTAACCTGACTCCAATGTCACTTTTTCCAGAAATTCTCTCCAATACCATATCATTCAGGATAATTGGGTCCCCTTTCTGAGCTCCTACAGTAACTGACAGCGGTCCCCATGCCTGCCCCTCTTCACTGCTTTCTCCATAACTTGGGGATTCAGATCACTTCCTTTTGCAGAATGCCTATGCAGTGGTTTGCTCTGAGTAGATATTCAACTAGCATTTATTGAAGTAAATCCAATGCCTTCCTGTCTAAAGTAAAGATGTCACTGCCTAATGTTGGGTGTAGTGAGGTACAGAAGCCAGATTGGCACCCAGTCCCCCAAGACTCAGGTCTCTAGCTGAGATGAGTTGCGTGCATGTGTGTGTGTGTGTGTGTGTGTGTGTGTGTGTGTAGGGAGAACTGTGGGACCTGCTTGCCTTGCTCCAGTGGCAGCAGTAGGTGACCAGCATGCTTAGGAAGACAGCCAACATGCAGCAGGCCTGGCAGGCCAGCACTGCCATTCTTAGCACCAGGGCCTCATCCACTAGGCACGGTGTGGCATCCATACAGCTGGTACAGCCCTCAGGACACAGCTGGCACCGCAGCAGCTTCCCTAAGCTGCCTTGTGGGGACCCAAATTGCTCGGTAGTCTGAGTTGCACGCTCCACTAACCCTACAAAGAACAAGATGGGTGCAAAGAGGGGAGCTTGGCTGCAGCATCCTGAGATTTTAGCCTTTACTGACTAGGGATAAGAGCCCTAGGGATAAAAGGGAAGGGGCATGCCCCAGGAAGAGCAGGGAACAGGAAGAGATGATGTCAGGCTAGGACTTATTGGAAGGTCAGCTTGTGTCATACCTGCACATTTGGGATAATTCTCAGAAGACACCCACAAACATCCATGCTGACCTCCCTCTCTCTCTCCCTCCCCTCTTTTGAGGCAGAGTCTCACTATGTAACCCAAACTGACCTTGAACTCATGGCAATCCTCCTGCCTCAGCCTCCCAAATGTTGGAACTATAGGTGTTGGGTACCATGTCTAGCCTTTCCTTTTCTTGGCCTTCTGCTGTTGCCCCACAGTTTCCTCCATGATCTCCCTCAACCTACCTTTCTTCCCTAGATGTTCCATCCCAATGAACCCTAGCTTACAACACCCCTATCTGATCCTGTTCACACTTACCCCCAGAGCCACTTGCCCCGTAGAATCCAGGTCGGCAGCAACAGAGATAGCGGCCCAAGACAAAGCCCTGACTCTCCAGAGGGATGCACTGTGGGGACAAACAAATGACATGTTTCTATGGTTTTTCCCTGCTGGGAAGAGGTCTCTCCATCCATGACTCCTGGGTTAACACTAAAGGATCCCACCAGAAGCTGTCCCAGGTCTTTGCTTAGTCTTCCCTCTATAGAAACTTCTCTACTCTACTGTTGCCTCTTTTCAAGGAGACTCCAAGAAGAGTACAGGATGCATAACTCTTGTTCAGACCAGCAGTAATGAGAGCCTTGTGTCCCATTTCCTAGTGCCTAGCTGTTGCTAGGGCAAGGTACTGGGAGGAGATGAAGAGCTGAGACCAATTGTACATTGTGTGCCTACATCTTGCTTCAAAAGGTCCCCATGAGCCTCTCTTCTTGGCACACAGGTGAGTTGAAAAGAAACCCCCTCTGACTCTACCCCCTGCAGGGGAAACCTCCTCCAACAGGAGCTATCTGGCTTTGGCATTGGACTGCTTTCTCCACCCTTAATGCAGCTAATGCTAGGCTGTTGGGATGCCAAGGTCAGCTCTTTATTCTATCTCTTCCTATTGATGTTTGCTCAGCAGGGGACAGAGTGTGGTCTCAGAGCTGGGCAGGGAAGCGAAGCACACAGATGAGGTCAGATCTGTTATGGGCAGTGACTGGGAGTGGACATATGTGAAACAAAGGACGGAGTTCATCTCAGGAGAGTTGCTATCCAGGCCCTGACCTCACCTACAGAGGTTTATGTGCTGCCAATGAAATTGGAGCCCAGCTTCCCCTCTTCTTGGACTACTGAAACATGCCCTGTTCCTGCCGCAGTCTGCACAGTCAGATTTGTAGCCAGTATAGAATGTGTGGCTGGGTTAAATAAATGGTATGCAAGATCCGGTTGAAAGAGGCAGTGGGTTCAGTCCCCAAACTCCAGCAGAGGGAGAAGAACCTGTTCAGTGGGGGACCTTCTCTATCCCTGGACTTCTAGCTCCGAACACAAACACCCTTGAGAGCAGTAGGGCCATCTGTGTGTGCAGAGCAATATGTTCATACACAAACATGCAGGCTGCAGGGCTTGCCTTGGCTTCAGTGCCATTCAGGAGTTTTCATGTAGTTGAGGGACCATGGAGTCAAAAGGCTCAGTGGCCTCCATCTCCCAGTGTTGGGCTTGTGGGATTGCCAATCAGAGCTCCTTGGCATCCCAATACACCTGTGCCTTGCTTTGATTCTTCAACTGGCTTAGAGTTCATCACCTTCAACAACCTTTTCAGGTTTCTTTTTGGGTTAGACTCCTCCCACACCCCAACCAGCAATTCCATTTATTTCAGTGAATACCAGTGAAGCAACCTCTGTGCATCATGAGCCCAGAGCTGTGTTGATGTGGAGCTTGTGACTCCAGATGGAAGAAAATGAGGGTCAGAGAAGCCCTTAGAAGGCATACTGCAGCACTGAGCACCAGAATGGAGGGCAGACAGGGAGGCACACTGAAATTTCACCTTTCTTGGGAGGAGGTGGGAGGTATAAGGTAGGCTGTAAAGTGGCCTCCCTTTAAAAAGAAGGAGGGGTACTACTTCACCTCTGCCAATCAGTAGAAGCCCCACTGAAGTCCTGAGATGCCAGGGTGGCTTTGTCAGCTTCTCCTGGAACTGGTTAGTGGTAGTGACAGGAAAAGGGGAGGGAGGCCAGACTCAGTGGGCCCTTCCTCCTTCCTCCTACCTGAGTGCTGTTGAGATCACACAGGTGTGTGTTAGCGTACCAGCCAGGGCCACTTGCACACTGATTGATGTCCACACTCTGAAGATCGATGTCCATTTGCACCTGCCCCCTAGTGCAAGCAAATTGACAATTAGAGGCACAGTGACGGATGCTAAGGCAGACATCTGTCCCTGGGCAGTAGATTATGGGGCAATGCAGTCTTTGCACACTTCACACAGTGGCTACAGAGTAGGAGAATACACACACATTCTGTTTCTCCAAGGTCATTAGCCCTGCCTCTGTGGCAACAGTCCCCCTCCCTCTAGGTTGCTTCCCCCACCTCCCCACTATTCATCATCTTACCATTTTCTGATTTCCATCAATGGGTAGAAGGAAGAGGCGTGTCAAAACATTCAGGAGCCAGGGCTCCAATGATCATTCTCAAGGGGATTGTCACACCTGTTCATTATGTGTATACACATAATACCCACAGCTCAGTTGTTGATCATCCCTTCACTCTGCCCAAGCCAAGTCTGAACTGATCACAGCAAAGGAGTCATGGAATGGAAGAGCCCTGTTGTGGCTGATTGGGGAGAGCTCTGGTAAGGAGCCAGGCTGTTTGCTTACGGTAGGGGAGCCTTGCTAGGAACAATGCATAGGGACACAGAGCTGGAAAAGCAATGCTCATTTACCACCTGCTTCCCAATGGGGCTACCCATCCTTTATTCTAGTTGAGAGAGGAGTCAGTTCTTTGAGGAGTATCACAAGCTACTGGGGCAGGACAGATAGGATAGTGGCACATGCTCCATGTAAGAGCATGGGTATTGGAAATGACGCTGGAGACCTGACTAACTCCTGAACAAAAGAAAGAGCATTGAGTCCAAGTCCCTGTCCAGGGGAAGCATCCTAGAGTGTCCTCTGAGAAGCCCAGGGAAGGGACTGTCACTGTCATCCAAACCCTCGCCTACCTCTTAGATCTACCCCTCAGACCTAAAAGCCAAGATGTACGCTTGTCTATCTCCACCCATCTGCACACACTCACCCATGTATAAATGTATGTGTACTTACAAGGATATGCACATGCTCACAGACATTCAGGCATGTGCTCAAGCACACAAACAACACCAAGAGATACCCAGGCACATGCCTATAATCCTAGTACTTGGAGAATAGAGGCAGGAGGATCAGGAGTTCAAGGGCAGCTTCAAATACATGGTGAGTTCCATATCAGCCTTGGTTACATGAGACCCTGTCTCAAAAACAACAGAGAGAGAGAGAGAGAGAGAGAGAGAGAGTAAATACATGGTGAGTTATATATCACTCTGGGTGACATGAGACCCTGTCTCAAAAAAAAGAGAGAGAGAGAGAGAGAGAGAGAGAGAGAGAGAGAGAGAGAGAGAGAAGGAGAGAGAGAAACAGATACCCAGATAAATATGTGTAAATGGACTGATTTATATATTGTATGTACACTCACACCGGTATGTGTTAACAGATACAGATTCCCAGAGCCCACTGCAAATACACACAGCTGAATGCATATACACACATTTGTGCATCTGTGTGCCCCAGACAAACACATGTTCTTGCCAAATGGTCTGTGCATAGTGGAGTACACCTGTGTTCCCCACCCCCACACCCTTACAAATCCCTCCCCAAACCCACTTACCTGACCTCTGGGCTGAGGTCTGGCTTGAGTCCATAGAAGGTGGCTGAGAGTGTGACCAGCCAGCGGGGATGGAGCTGGCCCTCCTGGCATTCCAGGAAGGGAGGAGACAGCCTCACCTGCTGTATGTCCCCTACATATCCATTCCCTCGTGGCCACTTGGGGCTGTCGAGGCTCTGTAGGTCATTGGTCAGCACCCGCTTCTGCAGATCAGGGCTGTCTGGGTCTTCTGGATGCTCCTCCTGCACTCTGTTCCCAGATAGGACCTGAAGAATGGTCTCTTCCCCCATCCGGGTGGCGTGCAGGGCTAGCTGAAGGTGGCTGGCTCCTGATGGAGGGTTAAAGGTCAGCAGAGCCCTGTAAGCCCTTGGGTCCCCCTCTGCCATGCTGCGGACCAGTGCCTGATACCACTCCACATCCTCTTCTATACTGGACTCTCGGATGTCGTTGGCTTGCAGCAGCATGTTGAGAAAATTGGCCGCCTGGGCCAGGGTGCCCGCTGCCCTTTGTAGGACTGGGGGCAGCCCTGCTCTGCTCTCTGCCCCAGGAGCTTCGTAGCCATCACTGCAATTAGCTCCTGACAGCTGTTGGGCATCTCCGGAGTAGAGAAAAGCCAGGGCTGCTTCATGGGGCATCCACATGGCCTCAGATCCTGACTTGGCTTGGGAGGGTAGTGGAGGCAGAGAGCTCAGGGGCCTTGGACCCCCCAGAGCCCAGCTGCAGAAAAAACAGCAGTCCAGCAGTCCCCACACAAGAGAAAACGTGGCCACTGCCCTAGAACCCATCCTTGGAGTCCAGGCTGCCTGGAGGTTTGAGAGGTTCAGAAGAAGAGCGCAGGCAGAAGCTGGTTACAATCTACCTCCTCCTCTCTTCTATCCCCTCCTCTCTTCTATCCTCTCCTCTCCTCTCCTCTCCTCTCCCCTCTTTCTTCCCTTCTGTTTGCCTTCCTTCTTTCCTTCTTTCCTTCTTTCATTCCTTCCCTCTCTCTCTCTCTCTCTCTCTCTCTCTCATATGCTGGTGCTGTTTTTTTCATATCTTACATCATCAGCTCATTTCTGGAAATAAGTATGAGGGCCCTGCCCCTCCTCACTCAGGATGGCCCCCCAATCTTAAAACCTTTTAATCCTGGCATACCACTTTTTCCTCCACCTCTGATCCAATACCTAGACTCCCCCCACCCTGCATCTGAGAGAGAGGGGGGGCAGTTGTTCTCTCTACCTCCCTCCTCCCTCTACCCTTTGATCCATTAGGAGATGGGCAAATCCAGGCTAGAGCACCATAGCAACAGAAGTGAGTCCATGCCCCTCTCTCCACCCCTCTGCTCCACTCGGCCTCCTGGCAGCAGTTGCAATGGGCAGGATAAAGGACAGCATGTCCTGGCAATGTGCTTCTGTGGCCTGAGCCTCTGCCACCATGCTGCTCAACTGGAATTGAGGTGGGGACTAGCAGAGGAAGGACAGAGAGCTCAATAGTGCCAGAATCAGTCTGCAAACAGGCTGTGGCAGCTCATGAAGCATCATAGCCATGTATGGTGACTATTCCTGTCCCCATTTCCCAGATACAGACATGGAGGTTCAAGCACTGCCCCCTACCCACCCCGCTCCTTAATGTAGGCAGCTGCTCACTTTGAGACTCAAGCCCAGCGTTCTGACTCTGCTCTGGCCCATCACTCAACCTCAGGAACTGTAATGATATCTCCTTATAAAGGAGTAAATTGAGGCCCTTCATCAAGGGACCTCCCTAGGTCCACACTACTGTGTCATGGAGGACTACCTTCCTGACCTAGGTCTTCCTTTACCTGCCCACAGCAGCAACGGGGTGAGGTGAGAGGTGCAGGGAAAAGAAAAGGAGGAAAGTTTTGCCTATACTCCATTTTATTTATTTATTTATTTATTTATTTATTTATTTATTTATTTATATAAGGTGTTTCACTGAACCTAAAGTTCATTGACTCAGCTAGGCTGGCTGCCCAGCAAGTTCCAGGGATGCACCAGTCAAGCCTTTTATTATTTTATCTTTTGTGTATGAATGTATTGCCTGTATGTATGTAAGTGCACTCGTGTCCTGCAATGCCTGTGGAGGTCAGAAAAGGGCATCGGATCCCCTGGAACTGGAGTTACAGATAGTTGTTAACCACCATGGGGGTACTGAGAAACAAACCCAGGTCCTCTGCAAGAACAGCCAGTGCTCTTAACCCCTGGGCCATCTCTCTAACCCCTATTTCTCCATTTTCTTGTAATTATCCTGATCTTTGATGTCTTCTTCCCTTCTTCACGTAAACTAGTCCCTCTCACTCTTTTTTAAAAATTTGTAGCTGGGTGTGTGTCTATATGAGTACCTGTGTATGGTAGAAGAGAATGTCCTCGGGGCTGGAGAGATAATGGCTCAGCGGTTAAGAACACTGAAGAACAATTCTTCTGTGGCCTTGGAAATAATGTAGCTTACCAAGGCAAATTAAGTAGAGACATAAGACATAAGGGGTGTTAGGGAAAGGGACTAGAGAGCAAACCCCCTGAGACTCTTTATGACATCAGAGCTAGACCTGGCCCATTGCCCAGACTTTTTTCTTTCATTTTTTTGTTCCTCGTTCTCATTGTTTTTTAGTTATTTTAAAAATTGTTTAGTTATTTTATGTGTATGAATGTTTTGCTTGCTTGTAAGTGCACCATGTGAGTGCAGTGCCTGCAGAGGCCAGAATAGGGCATAAGGTCCCCCAGAACTGGATTACAAATGGTTGTGAGCCACCTTTTGGCATTGGAGACTGAACCTGGCTGGGTTCTTTGCAAGAGCAGCAAGTGCTCTTAATTGCTAAGCCATCTCTTCAGCCCTAATTCCCTTTGGTTTTGATAGGCTATCATGCATCCCAGGCTAGCCTCAAATTTGGTATGTCTCAGAGCTTGAATTTATGAGTTTCCTGTCTCCACCTTTTAAAGTGTTGGGATTACAGGTATGCACCATCTTGCCCAGTGTTATGCAGTGCTGGGGATCTAATCCAAGGCCTCATGCATACTAGGCAAGCACCTCACCAGCGGAGCTACATCTCCTGGACCCTTCGATCATTTTTGAAACAGGGTCTCATTCTGTAACCTAGGCTGACCTTAGATTATTAGAAATTCTCCTGCCTCAGCCTCCCAAGTACTAGAATCACAGGTGTGAGTCACTATGCCCAATCCAGACTTTTCTTTTGGTTTTTTGTTTGTTTGTTGTCTTTTTGAGACAGGGTCTCCCTGTAGCCCCATCTGTCCTGGAACTCACTATGTAGACCAGGCTGGCCTTGAACTCACAAAGATCCGCCTGCCTCTGCCTCCCAAGTGCTGGGATTAAAGGTGTGTGCCACCATGCCCGGCTCAGACTTTTCTTAACAGATAAGGAAATTGAAACCCTGGAAGTTAAGTTACATTATCTCCAAGGCCACCAAACCAAGTAGTAGCACTTCAGGGAAGAAAATCCTATACTGTGCATCCATAGCTCTCTCCTTGGCTTCTCCAATTATGTGTATGTGTATGTGTGTGTGTATGTGTCTGTGTCTGTGTCTGTGGCTTTTCTGACAGAAGAGGGGGAAGTGAGAGAGATTCATTCTATTTCTTGGTCTTACTGGTTACTGTTAACTGAGGATCAACAGAGCATACCTCAGAGTTGACATAACCACCCCCCCAAGAAGCTTTATCCAAGGATACTAACATTTCTATAGTGCTTTAGAATTTGTCAAGCATCTTTCTATGTTTTCATTTAATCCCCTCACCACCCTGTCAAAGGCAGATTATGACTGACCCACTTTTACAAATGACACACAGGTCCAGTGTGTCTCTCACTATGTAGCCCCAGTTGGCCTGGAATTTGCTATGTAGCTGGACCTTGAATGCTTGATCTTCCTTCCTCAAGTGCTGGGATTAAAGGTATGCATTTTATGTTAACCTTTGCTCATTGCTTTTGAAATGAGGCCTGTCTTTGTTACCCAGGCTGGTTTTGAACCTCTGGGTTTAAATGATCTTCCTGCCTCAGGAACACCTTGGTCATATATCCAGGCAGTGGTATGATTAGGATTCAAACTAGAACAGCCACAAAGTCAAGAGGGACAGAGGCAGTGTCTCTTTCATTACTGCTCAAACTTGACCACTGTAGAATGACCAAGTGAACCTCAGAATTTCTATAGCAGCTCTGAATCAGTCTTCTTTTTTTTTGCTTTTTGGGGCCTAGTTTTCACCCTCCCACACCATTGTAGTGGAAGGTGAGCTGAGGCCCCCGGTGGCTCTGGGCACTGAGTCTCTAAGTCATTCTTTTATTTTATTTATTTGTATGAGTGTATTGCCTGCATGTGTGTGAGTGCACCTGTGTTGTACAATGCCTCAGAGATCAGAAGAGGGCATTGGATTCCCCTGGAACGGAGTTAAGGATGGTTCATAGCAGCCATGTGGGTGCTGGGAATCAAACCCGGGTCCTCTGCGAGAGCAGTCAGTACTCTTAACCTCTGAGCCATCTCTCCAGCCCTAAGTTATTCTTCTTAAAGTAACTAAAGCAATAAGATCCTACCACTGTAGGAACTTTTTTTGTTGTTGAGCCAGAGTGTTGATATGTAATCTAGGTTGGTGTAGAATTTATAATCCTCCTGTCTCATTCTTCCACAAATTTTGGAATTATGAGCATATACCACCACACCTAGCCTCTTTTATAGCCTTCAGTGAAAGAGGGTTATAGGTATAAAACCACTTCAGGATGGAAAGCTTGAAGGCAGGAGGGTCCTGAGTTCCTGGCAAGCCTGGGTTGTGTCTTGAGACCTTGTTTCAAAACAAAAGCAAAGAGAGAGAGAGAGAGAGAGAGAGAGAGAGAGAGAGAGAGAGAGGTCTGTCTCACAAAGATACACATCTTTGCTTAAAGATTACTTTTTAATGCTTTTCCAGGATGTAGACTAAAGGCCTGGACTATTAAGGAAATAGAGAAGTGGTCTTTCTCTGTCCTGCTTGTGTCCTGTACCTCTGTGGGCTCTAAGTGAAACTACCCCATGGCTGACAGCATCTGGACAGCAGAGGGCGCCGCAGACCTTGCACAGTCACAGACCTTGCTTTCATGGATTTATCTCAAGGACCAGAGAATTTTCCATCAGAGATCTTAAGTAGCTGTTTTTCATTTCATGCCTCAGGTGTTCTGGGATCCTGTAGCAACTTTCCTTTTTTTTCTTCTAGAAACCCAAGTGACACCTGAGAAGTATGGGAAATAACCGTGGGGAGAGAGGAGAGAGAAAATTTTTTGAGGCCAGACAGCTGGTTTTGAGTTCCACTAAATCTTCCTGAATGGAATGATCATAGCTAAAAGACTCATTGAATGTCAGTTTGCTTCTTCACTTACAACAACAATTATCAATTCTGTTGTGTGAATTAGAGGTGGATTTGAATCAGGAGTCTTTTATGAGGCTTAGGGTTTCATAACAGTTCTACATTTATGTATCAAGGGCCCCTTTACACGCCAGGCAGTCTCTGGCACTAGAGAATCTATGAGGGGCAGAGAGCAAACATAGCCTTAGAGAACTTACAGTTTAGTAGGGGAGGCAGATTTTTAATCAAATCAAAAAAGTGCAATTAAGTATAACAAAGATATGTTCTTCAAACTCAGAGAGGAAGAACATCTCCTTGGTGTAGTGAAGAGAGAGTTCAGTCTGAAGGATGGCCAATTTACTGAGCACAAAAGAGGGGAAAATCCTAAGAAAGGCAAATACCTGAGTGGGAGATGTAGCTCATTGGTTGAGCTCTTTGCTTTGGAAGCACAAACCCTGTAGTTGATCCTCAGTACTGAAGAAAAAAGGGGTTGTGAAATAGCTGATTAAATGCTTATATATGAGGGAAATACTAGTGTTAGTGGACTGAACTGCCCAGGACAGACAAGGTACAGCTTGGTGGGTGATGTGGCCAGAGAGAAGCAGGGGTTAGACCACAGGGCCCCATATGCTCATATGTCTCCTAAGGGAGCTTTGTCCTTAGCCTAAGAACAAAGAAAGTATGAACAATTACAGTTACAGGCTATAAGCAAATTTCCATTTTGAAATGGTTCCTCTGGGCTGGGAAGTTGGCTCAGTCAGGGAAGTGCTTGCCACATAAAGATGAGGACTTGAGTTTGGGACCCCAGCACCTACATACAGACAGAAGCAGCAGTGTGTGTCTATAATCCCAGCCCTGGGAGAATGGAAACAGGTTCTCTAGAGCTCATTGGCCAGCCAGTCTAGCTACATTGATGACAAAGTTCAGTGGTAGACCCTGGCTTAAAAAAATAAATAAATAGGGGGCTGGAGAGATGGCTTAGCACTTAAGAACACTGGCTGTTGTTGCAGAAGACCCAGATTCGAATCCTAGCACCCACATGACAGCTAACAACTGTACATAACTCCAGTTCCAGGGGATCTGACAGCCTCTTCTGTCCTCTGCGGGCATTGCACAACACGGGTGCACTTATCTACATGCAGGCAATACATGCATACACAAAAAATAAAATAATAAATAAAATATTTAAAAATAAGTAAATAAAGTAGGGACTGAAGAGATGGCTCAGTGATTAAGAATACTGGCTACTCTTGCAGAGGACCTGGGTTTGATTTCCCAGCACTCACATAGTGACTAACAACCATCCTTAACTCCAGTTCCAGAGGATCCAAGGCCCTCTTTTGGCTTCCATGGACATTGCATGCATGGGTGCACTTACATACATGTAGACAAAACACTCATACACATAAAAAATAAAAAAATACAAAAAGGGGAGGGGGCTGGAGAAATGGCTTAGGGTTAAGAACAGCAGCTGTTCTTGCAGAAGACCAGAGCTTGAATCCTAGCACCCACATGGCAGCTAACAACTTTCTGTAACTCCACTTCCAGGGGATTCAAAGCCCTCTTCTGTCTTCTGTGGGCACTGCATGACATAGGTGCACTTACATACATGCAGGCATAACACCCATACACATAAAAAAAATAAAATAAAAACACAAAAAAGAAAAAGCTGTGCATGGTGGCTCTCAGGAGGCAGAGGCAGGTGGATTTCTGTGAATCTGAGGCCAGCGTGGTCTACATAGAGAGTTCCAGGCCAGCTAGGGCTACAAAGTGAGACCCCGTCTCAAAAAATCAATCAATCGATCAATCAATTAATAAAAAATAAGGTGAAGAGCAATTGAGAAAGACACCAAACATCAACCCCTGGTCTCCACATCCATGCACACACATATGCATGAGCATCTGCATGCACATGTGCATATAACACACACACACACACACACACACACACACACACACAGTAGTTCCTTAATCTTCCCCTCAATGCTCCATCAGATAGTGAAGTTGCTAAATAATGCTGGCTGGTCTTTCCTCCTCATCCCTTGTGAATTTCCACAACTGCCACAATGACAATTGCATGGGTTCCTGTCTGGTCTCCTTACCTCCAATCTCACCTCAACATACATATAAACTTGATTGTATTTGATCCTCACAACCTCCCTGTCAAGGAAACAAAGCTATAATCCTTGTCTCCATTTTACAGATGAGAAAGGAGAGGTCTAGTGGTGCTAGGGAGCAGGTTTATGCCTGCTTGTGAAAGTTAGTCATTAAAATTTCTGGAATTTTGTAAGTCAATTGTTAAAATGGCTTCTTGGCCTTTTGGCTAAAATCAAGTGCTTTTAAACATAGTTACTATTCAAAATTGGCATATAAATTTATAGGACTAGGGGCTGGAGAGATAGCTCAGCAGTTAAGAACACTGGTTGTTCTTGCAGAAGACCTGGGTTCGAATCCCAACACCCACATGGCAGCTAACAACTGTCCATAACTCCAGTTCCAGGGCATCTGACGGCCTCTTCTGTCCTCCATGGGCATTGCATGACATGGGTGCACTTACCTACATGCAGGCAATACACACACACACACATAAAATAAAAATAATAAACTATTTTTTTAAAAAAACAAATTTATAGGACTGGAAGTATAGCTCAGTGGTAGAGTGCTTGCCTGATGGGGACAAGTCCCTGGGTTTGATTCCCAGCACTAGAGAGAAACAACTCACTCAGACTTATGTTTAAGTCATTTAAAATGAAGGTAATAAATTGTCAAAATTCATATTCTGAAATATTAAAATTTTCTCTGTGCATGTGTGCGTGTGTGTGTGTGTGTACATGTACCATGGAAGTCAGAGGACAATTTGTGGGAGATGGTTCTCTCTTTCCACCACTTGGGTCCCAGGTATGGAACTCAGGTCATCAGGCTTGGCAGCAGATGCTTTAACCCAGTGAGCTATTTTATTTATGTATGTTCTTGGGCTTATTTATGTCCACTGTATGTGATTAAACTATACAAAGTGGATGATAGGTTAGAGCTCATGTCTTCCTGAGTCTAGTAAGGTCACATTGATGGACTGAAATTAGCCACTGAGCAAGTGCTACAAATCAGTGTTTGATTTGTTGTTTTGCTATCACCTATACTTAAAAAGGTGATAGAAGGGGCTAAAGAGATGGCTTAGCAGTTAAGAGTGTGTAGCATATGCTGCTTTTGCAGAGGACAGGAATTGGGTTCTTAGTACCCATGCCCAGCAAGTCATAACCACCTATAACACCAATTCTACAGGACCCCACACCCTCTTCTGGTCTTCTTAGGCACCTGCACACACATCCACATACTTAAACACACACATACAATTTTTTTTTTTTTTTTTTTTTG